TAACTATCTATCTAACTATCTATGTATTTCTCAATCTATCTACCTAAAGGATGACCAAAAGTTTTGGTACCTCACAGAAAAATTCCCTTCCCTCTCTTATAAAAAAATCAGAAAAAGCTCAAAATTGGACTAATAGTCAAGCAATACCAGATGAGTATCACTCTAAGTGTTCACAAGTAAAGCTCAAGTTATCGTGAAGATATAAATTCAAACTAAAAGATTTTTTTCGTATCATCTAACCAAGTAACCGGTGTCGATGATAAACGGTTGTATTTTCTATCTTTTTTTTTCTCAATTTCTAATATGCTTCTTGAAAAAAAAAACATATTAGAAGATGGAGCGACAGAAAATCTACAATCTACAATAGAAAGCTTATTTTATATATGGTCTTTTAGTGTTCAAAATGGATGAGAATGATGAAAAGAGAAAATAAAGAAAAAAAAGGAATTCGTCATGTATAAAAAATAACTTTTTCGCAACATTAGAATTCACTCACTTCGAAATCTGCTGATTTCGAATACTAAAAGACCATATATAAAATAAGCTTTTTATTGTAGATTATAGATCTTTTGGCGCTCCATCTTCTAATATATTTTTTTTTCAACAAACATATTAGAAACTGAGAAAAAAAGATACAAAATATGACTGTTTATCATGGGCACCGGTTACTTAATTAAATGATGCGAAAAAAAATCTTTTAGTTTGAAGCTATATATCTTCACTATAACTTAAGCTATGGTTGTGAACATCTAGATTGATACTCATTTGTTACTGCTTGACTATCAATCCAATTTTGCGCCTTTTTAATTTTTATCAGAGAGAAAAGAAATTTTTCTATGAGCTACCAAAACTTTTAGACAAACCTTTATCTATCTATTTATATATTATTGGGAGCAGAATTCTAGTGGTGATTTTACTGAGATTTGTCATGGACTTCATATCTTCTTTAGCTTCAACATAACAATATAAAATAACCAAAGTGAATAATATCTAACAGATAATAGTTGCTTTTCAAGAATAATCGATCCTTAGAGAATCGATCTGTCTTATTTATTTCTGTGTTTCTAACAGAATTTTTTTCTCTTATTTTTTTTTACTGGCGCTTCATTATTTATTTGCGTTGTTGTCATTCGCTTGTGATTTATTTTTTTTTTATTTCATCTTTCCTAATTTACTATTATTATTACTATTATTTTTGTTCTTGTTCTAACCAATGATTTGCTTAAGAAATTAGCCGGCTGTACATCTTCATTGTATCTGCGGCAGGTCCCAACGCACTACTATGGACCTTGATAAACTTATCAAGTACTGGTTTTGATGGTTCTCTCAAATTAGAATTTGATCAATTAATACTTTGTGTTGCTCATATGACGATCGTAGTAAATCAATACATCACCAGTTATCATCCATCTTTTATATGTATCATATACTCATTAATTTGAGCAAAAATCAGAAACCGTACTATATATAGCATTCAAAAACATAGTCCAACCATTTAAATTTCAAGGAAAGCTTTGAAATGTTCTAGCACAATCTGAGCCGTGTTTGTTAACACCGTTAAGCGCCCTTTACCGTTGCTAAAGAATCATGGGAAATGAGTCTGATGCTTGTTGTATGTCGGTTACTATGGCAGAATTTGTGTCCAGCGCTCTTTAACCTTCGACCGCGGCTGCTAAGGCCTGTAATGAGGGAATCGAGGGAAGATGAGCCTGAAAATCTTCCATTTAAACTTATACTCACTATTTTTCTTCGAAAAATATATGTGAATTGCACAAAACGTGTTGTTCATTGAATTGTACAGTTATGGTAGCTGTATACGACCAGATACGATCGTGTACGGTGATATACGACCGTATACGGCAGTCGTATAACTCCGTATACGGAGCATAGATATTTATCTTTTAATCACTCCGTATTTTTGTACGATCTCCGTTTACGGAATCCGTTTCTCACCGTATTGCTCCGTATACGCGCATCGTATACGGAAGCCGTGCACGACCTCCGTATATCTCTGTTTTTCTCCGTAAACGACCGTTTACGAGCGTGCATGTTCGACCTGGGAAGTTTTGTTTTTTGCATGTTATAGAAGTTTCATGTAATTTCTATAAGGTTTTTTGATACGCATGGAATCTGCCTCTTGAAGTCCTGTGAAGCCTTGTGAAGTCTTGTGAAGTCTCATGAAGTCTCATGAAGTCTCATAAAGCCTCATGAAGTCTCTTGAAGTCTCTTGAATTCTAATGAAGTCTCATGAAGTCTCATGAAGTCTCTTGAAGTCTCATGAAGTCTCTTGAAGTCTCTTGAAATCTCATGAAGTCTCTTGAAGTTTTATGAAGTCTTGTGAAGTCTTATGAAGTCTTATAAAGTCTCAAGAAGTCCTACAAAGTCTCTGAAGTCTCATGAAATCCGTGAAGTCTCATGAAGTCCGTGAAGTCTCACGAAGTCTGTGAAGTCTAACGAAGTCCCATGAAGTCTCATGAAGTCTTATGAAGTCATACGAAGTCTTATAAAGTCTTGTGAAGTCATTTGGAGTCCTATGAAGTCTTCAGAACTCTTTAGAACTCTTTTGAAGTCTTGTGAAAATATGAAGTCACTGCGGTTGAAGTCTTTTGAAGTCTTTTGAAGTCTTGAAGTCTTGAAGTCCGCTGTTTCCCCCTTGAGAATAACCAACACCCACACCCACCCACACCCTCAATATCTCAGTCGAGTTCGAAGATGAGAATGATTTGTCGAGCCATTGCTGAATTATTGCAAAAAGACTCATTATTCCCTATGGTTTTCTATGCAAACATTGACCTATCCCGGTTTTCGTAAAAAACTTATCCTCTCATAATCAAACAAAACCTCAGCTATTATATACCATTCGATAGAGAATTTCACGAGCTACAAAATGGTATTTAAAAATTAAGAAACAAGAAGGCCAACTCACCTATTGCAAAGATACTTAAACCAAAATCGGTTCTGTTTTTGTCTACGCTCCAATTGATTG